ATTCTCAGCTGCTTTCTGACTCTCTGGGTTTTTTGCCTTCGAGGCGCTCCGAGCTCTTTCAGCTTACTTGTCTTAAAAATGTCCCACATTTAAATATTTCTGTTCATTACACTCTGAGAAAGAAACATGTTTTGATTTCCGTTACCACCCTGCGACCTTCCCTCTGAGCCAGGATCACACTAATCTTTATATTCTTCATGGGTGCTGACCCGCTGCTTGTTAATATTTTCTGTGCTCCCATCAGGAAGTGATCTATTGATTTTCAGTGACCCCCCCCCTGCACATACATCTCAATTCATATAACAGTCTTGCTCAAGGACTCACTGACAGGAGGTTTTTACACAGGGGACCGAGTTACTGTTTCCAGTTTTCCTTCTATCAGTTCAAAATATACAGAGTGCTCAGTCAAAAACCCGCATGTTCAATCACTGCTGCTTAAGAAAGAATGGTTCCTTTGTCCTCCCTGACGACCCAGAGAAAAGGTGTGTGTGTGTGTGTGTGAGAGAGAGATCTATATATTAATTTCAATTCATTTTCTATTTGCTGTCCTTCTGATCTTCCTGCTCTCTCTCTCTCTCTCTCTCTCTCTGCTTCTCACCAAGTAATGAAATCATCCATCCAATGAAACACTCCATCATAAACTCCTCTCCGTCTCATCTCCACCCCCCAATAACATAATAATTATCCAATTAATCAGTGCCGGCAAAGTGCTGCTGTGTGTTTTTAAGTCTTGCCATCCTTCCCTCTCATATTGATCGCACCGTCTCTTTCCACTCGCCCACACTGTCATCAAATAACTCATCACAATGAGTGTGTTGACAGGACGGGCTCACACTCCATCATGGAGGTCCACATCCTCACAACTTAGTTTTCTCCAGATGAAGCTGTTGTTCTCATCCTCCGAGTGGTAAATATACACAATCTCACAAAAAGAGCCTGAAATATCAGAGCTTACATTTGCTCGTCATCTTCCAAACTGTCTGTGTTTGTCTCCCTGAAGCTGGAGCGTCTCTCTCTGGAGAATAACTAATACATTTTTAATGACAGACTGTGTTCAGCTCTTTCTAGAAGAAGCACAAACTGTCTTTTTTTGTTTTTTTTGTTTTTTTGTTTTGTTCTTTTTTTTTCGTCGGATGCAGAAATACATCCTCTAATTTGGACCTGCTGGTGCTCATCTATCATTAATGATGTCTCACTATGGTTTCTCTGCAGTTTATCACATGTTTGGCTCCAACTCTCAAATTCAAGTATGCAGATATCCATTAGTCTCTTATGAACTGACAGAGGGGTGACCTCGGTGTGATCCTCTCTGCGGGATGCTGAAAAAAAGTGAATATTCATGACAGCAGAGGAGCTTCATTGGGCTGGTTTTCACCTGTCTGAGCACCAGGTCAGGTAGAACAGTGGAAAAATATCTTTACTACTACAAACTACAAACTTCTCTGTCCTCCTCCACCTCTTCTGTTCCAGGTGGGACCTCATCCTCCGAACCCTGGCACCTCGCTTCCCTCGGCAGCCTGTTAGACGATCAGTATTGGCACCACGTTGTACTGGAGAGGCGCAGCTCTCACCTCAACCTCACCGTGGACAAACACACCGAGAGGGTTCAGGTCCCTGCAGAGTTCAACCACTGGGATATCGAACAGGTGCCGTGCAGCAGAATACAGAATATCCTCACATCCAAAACACCTGAATGTACAACCGAGGAAACAGACTGGGCAACAGCATTATAATCAAAGCACTCAAACGCACTGTATTATTCCATATGCATGTAATGCTCTGTGTGTTATTGTCTCTGTGTAGCTGAGTGTAGGAGCCGCACAGAGCCTTGGCTCTCAGAAACCAGTCACGTCAAAGAGGACCTTCCACGGCTGCGTGGAAAACCTGCTCTACAACGGCCTCAACCTGATCGAACGAGCCAAACACAACAACCAACAAGTCACGCTGATGGTGAGTTAGTTTAGCTCTATATATTACTATCATATTGTTATTATTACAGCAACATGTTGCATCTTCTTTTATTCACAGTGTAACTAATGAAATGTATGAAAATACACTCTCACATGTCACAGGTGGTGCTAATTGAACGCTTGAAGAGAAAACCGGTAGAACGATGTGATGCGTTCAGGCGTTCTCTTGGCGTCTCTTTAGTATGCACTGATTAAGCTGATGAACTTTTGCAGTGGACAGCCTGAGTAAGTAAGGATGTACCGCTTTTATGGTGAAAAAAGAAGCATCTGGTGAGCTCTGCTTCTGTCGCCTCCGAGGGCCCCGACACTACACACTGACTCCGCTGAGCACATGCACACACACACACACACACACTGCATGTCGGGGCTGCGGATGAGTTTCTCTCACTTGTGAGCAATGAAGTCGGCGGTCATCACAACATTAATTATTATTATTATTATTATTATTATTATTATTATTATTATTATTATTATTATTATTATTATTGTTGTCAGTCTGTTAGAAAAACATATAATTTTATTAAAATCAAAAAATGATATTTAGCCTATAGGCAATAAAAAATAATAGTCAATAAAGTAGCCGCCTGGATCAGAATAGACAGGGACTATTCTGATCAGTATTGTTGAGGACTAAATATTGAACAATTATCCATAACTGTTGTCCAGCATGTTGTTAAAGTTGCTAACGGTTGTAAAGAGGGTTTTTTCCTGTAAGAAGGCGCCTGTGTGTGTGTGTGTGTGTGTTCTACCACTCAGACACTTGCTGGTTAATAACGGACACAGCAGTGCAGACACTTGGACTCTCACTAATGCCTCCTCATTTTGGCCATTAAGACCTTTTAGATGTTTCCACAATCACAGTGAGTGGAGCGAGCTCATCATGTAAAGGCTGTGAAGCGTTTCTTTAGAGACTAATAAACCCGCTCTCATTACATTAAAGATCCAGACAGAGGAAGAAAAAAAACATGAATTCTCAGTAAAGTGGTCCACAGATTCACATCCACGGCTGAAGATGTAATTGAGGACCTTTTGTAAAGACGCCAGGCTCTTGATGTCCTCAAGACAAAGTCGTAGTCCAGTTTATTCTGTGAGGGGAACAGTACAAAGGAAATGGATGTGTGTGCGTGCTGGGTTGGTCGTGTGTCGGTGCTGCAGTCTAAAGGATTCTCAGGGTTTTTAAGGTAACTTTGTTTTGTGGAGTCACACGTCCCACTCCAAAATGAATTACTGTACATCACTTCTAACTGCACCACAGAGGGCTTTTAGATGTCATCTGTGTTTCCAGAGCATTACAAAGATAGCAGGCTGATATTCCCAGCAGAGAGCTGGGACTGTAATGTATGACTGCTGCAGCTGCTGTAGCTGTAGCTGTGGGCCTAGAGTCATTACCACCACTCCAAACAATAGACTGTTACAGAGATGTCAAGATACAGCAGGAGCAGCAGCAGCGCTGGTCACACCGGATGCTCTCCTTCTTTCACTTCCAGTCTTTATCTCTCCTGCATCCAGCTTCAGTGACTTTGGTATCTCATCCTAAGCTTTGCTGTTATCGTTATGATAAAACCAGTGTCCTCTTTAAGGAGACTGGCTGATGAGATCACTGCGACACGAGGAGACAGAGACACGCCCTCTGCAACTGATTAATATTCATGTTTCATGTTGGTTTATCTCTGTGGTAATCATTTTGCTGTCTCACTTCCTCTCTCTCTGTCTCAGGGCAACGTGACCTTCTCTTGTGCTGAGCCAGTTTCCGTTGCCGTGACGTTCCTCGGCCCCCAGAGCTTCCTCCAGTTGCCGGGTGCGACGGCATCCTCTGCGGTGTCAGGGGGCGTGTCTGTCGGATTACAGTTCAGGACGTGGAACAAGGTGGGGCTTCTGCTCACCTTTGACCTCCCTCACCAAGGGGGGGTTGTCTGGCTGTACCTGAGTGAGGCCAGGCTCCGGCTGCAGATCCATAAGGCTGGCAGGGCGCTGCTGGAGCTCAGTGCAGGTCAGTCGAACATCAAACCTTTGATCCATTCACTCCCACACCTTCAGGTCCACTTTAAAGTATTGGAGGGGTATTGAGTCATTGCTGTCACGTCTTATCTCAGTTTCTCTGGATGCTTTTAGCAACCCTTATGTACACAGGCAATCTTTACTCATGCCTTAAATGATTTTTTTTGATCTTGCTTCATGACATGTTTCTTAATAGAGTGAAATTGTGAGGAAAAACATGAGTTACAAGCTGTTTCCAAATTGCAGTGTGGTGTCTGAGCTGCAGGCTGTGGAGTGACTGGATGTCTAATTCTGTCGTTACTACCTGAGTGCCTGTGCCTCCCCTCTTTTCCATGGTACAGAGATCATGTGACATCTGCTGCAGGTCTTTAATGGCTCCACGTGCAGCCATGAACACCTGAGAAAAAAAGACTGATCTAACTCCCAGCAGTGTGTGTATGTGTGTGTGTGTTAATGAGCTCTTGGTTTCCCAGGTTCTGGTCTGAATGACGGTCAGTGGCACTCAGTGGAGCTGAACTCCAGAGGAGGACGACTGACCATCGCTGTGGACAAGGAGGAAGGAAGCACCGCTCATGCCAGCCCCTCGTTTCCTGTCGCCGTTGCGAGTCATCTCTTCTTTGGTGGTAAGTGTGAAACAGGTCTGCTGTATCTTTATGGTTACTGGTCAGTGTCACTGGACAACAGCTGTCATGTCTGGTGACTCCTCTGTCCTCTGGTTTAAGGTTGCCCGGCTGAGGACGACAGTCAGGAATGCAGAAACCCTTTTAACGTCTTCCAGGGCTGCATGCGTCTCTTAACCCTGGACAACAGCAACGTGGATCTGATCCAGGTGCAGCAGAAGCAGCTGGGGAACTACAGCAACCTGCAGATCGACATGTGTGGCATCATCGACAGGTCAGTTTCCAAACTTTAAACTACTGCTCTGCACAGCTGGTTTTCCACATGAGTTTAGTTCTGTAGCTGCTGATCACAGAGCGGAGATGATGTGTGTCCTTTTCTTCTTACCACAGTAGCTCTATTTAAAACATCTTCTACCAGGAGTGGGATTTGAACCCACGAGGACTTTGTGTCCATTGCATCTTGAGTGCAACGCCTTAACCGCTCGGCCATCCTGGTCCCATGAACCCTTCGCACAACAAGTTTAGGGTCAAAGTATGAACGACACCGTGAAGCTAAAATGTGTTGTAGCCTTCATCTAATATGTAAACATGAGACAAATTAAAGGTAAAACCAGAGAAATAAGTGGAGAAATGTCAGAGCTGGAGGTCAGGGTACTGCACAGCTGAAACACAGTGCGCTCAGGTTTCCCTTTGGTTTGTGTCTTCATAAAAACCATGTGCCAGGAGTTGATCTTTGAACTGCTTGAGTTCAGAGCTTTAACCAGTCTGAACCTGAAACAACCACAGACAAACTCTGCAAACACGTCGAGCTCAGCTGTTGCCATAATAAAATGGTAAAATATTCATATTCTCAGCAATAAAAGGAACAATATTTCATTTATTGTAAGTACATATTTTTATTGTTATGTTGAAACGCTGAGTCGAGGTTAGAGAGAGATTTATCATCTTGAACCAAAACACTGTTTTTGCCCAAATCTTCACCACACACAAGATTCTGGATTCAAACCATGTTCTCTTTGTGTTTTCTATACTCCCACTGTCCTGGCATCTCAGCCGCTGCTGGGAAACGCAGCTCTCCTTTCTTTAAAAGAAAACAACCTCTGAACATAATCCAGCCTTCACTACGCTTCCTACAAAACGTATTCGCTGTTGCCGCCTCGTTGTATGTTGTTATAAACTGACAGTGTAAGATGCTGTAGCTCTGAGGTCTGTGATGGTCAGATTGATTGTTCATTCAGATCCATTATTAATATAAAGAAATGGATTATGGCTGCTATGATTTAAAAAAAAAGAAAAGAAACTTTCCCTGGCACATGTGGCACGTGTGTTTCTACAGCTTTCATGTAAGTCAAACACTGAACTGACAGTGAGTGTAACTGAGACTAATTGACGCGTAGAGCGAGTTTAGACCTCGTGATAAATATTTTCGGTGTAATTTATGGATCGTGAGGATGACAAATGACGGTGCAAATCGTCAGGGACAGCGCAGGATCAGAGCAATAACTTGGAGCTCAGGAGATGAGCAGAGGCAGAGGGGGGAGGAGGGGGAGGGGGGGGGGGGGGCTAATCCAGTCACGGCAAATAACTGCACAATTAATGAGACAATTACAACAATTATACACCCTCCTCTAGGGCATAGCACAGACACACACACTCACACACACTCACACATCCGTAGTATATTACATGTAGACGCCAGCATGAACAAATATTGAACCAACCACATATCTGTGGCAGATAAAGAGAATCTGCTTCAGTGATTTTAATTAAACCCCCCCCTTTTTTTTCTGCGCTCATTAGATTAATAATCAGTACAGTAGAGTTCCTGCACGGATCGGACTATTCACTGGAACAAACACTGAGAAAATCCTGTTTTCCAGTTCAGGCAGAAGCATGTGGCCGTGTTTCTCTCTCTCTCTGAGTAATCCTGCTGATTTCATTTTGCTCCCATGGGACGTGAAGTCATGTGGAAAGTGGACTCACTGATACGGCTGCACTTTGTAGTCAAACCTCAGAGCGGGTTATTGTATCTGCAGTGGTGTGTGTGTGTGTGTGAGAGAGAGAGAGAGGGCGTGTGAGAGGAGCAAACAGCACATATGGAGCAATTAACCTCTGCCTGATTATTTTAGATCATAACGTACAATGTTAAAGTAACTCACACACTTCAGTCTGTGAACATGTGCTGTCAGTGTGTGTGTCTGTGTCTGTGTGTGTGTGTGTGCTGTTTTTATGTCATGTGTGTAAAGTGAGCTGTTTTTATTGACTGTCAACAAACACAGGGTGCACAGTCTGAGTGGAGAGGTGTCTCTGCAGGGCCGTGCATTCTGGGATCAATGTCGTCTGCGCCGGGCTGAAGTTAAAAGTGTTGTCAAGCTAAATTGGTTCACCTGGCGCTGCAGGATACCGAGCTGATGGACGCTCACTCGGTGTTTAAAGGGCCACTCTGTGAACGCCTCAGGGCTCGGTGTGCTTCAGTGTTTCTGTGTGTGACATTTCAGTGGATTTGTGATTTAAATGAGGTTAGCTGCAGTTTGGAAGTTTGTATTTTATGATATATATGTATATATTAGACACACAGGTGTATTCAAAACTTTGGGACACCGCTGAGCCGTTACATATTTTATTGATTTTTGAAGTAAACATGAACCCTGCAACCAACAGGCATGAAGAATGAGCTTCTCTTTAAATATGAATGTGCAGTTCCTTGACTGTACTCTGCTCACACACACATTTTCATGATGGGCATCGCTCCTGGTTAAAGATCCTGGTTCTACACTGGAAACCCCCCCCCCCCACACACACACACACAGTCACTATCCAGAATGGGTTAACAACACATATATTGTATTATACAGGTGGTGGTGATGGAGCTGTTATGGGGAGATGGGGAGGGACAGGGGGAGGCAGGTGTAGCCATGGGGTGTTTGTGTGTATCTTTTTGGCAGGCATATATCAGCATGCAACAAAAGAACAGTGAAAGATTCATCACAGACATGTTTTATAGAAAAGACTGGGAGGGAGTTTGCAGGCTGTGATGAGGCATCGTGTTTTCCTCCGGCAGAGCAAACACTTAGAAACACACAGACCTGGTATCTGGTATCTGGTTTTGTTTGTTTCCACCTCTTTAGCTTTTAGTAGAATGAGCTCTTTATCTTTTCTGTGACAGTGAGCATCACAGGCTGAGCTGTGAAACGCAGAAAGAGGTTGGCTTGTGTCTGTGTGTGTGTGTGTGTGTGTGTGTGTGTGTAATATGGCGACTGTGTTTTATCATCTGAGAATCAGCCTGAGGTTAATCAAGAAGCCAACGACTGATGGAGCACATATTAAAAGACTGACTTCTCTCATCTCACGATCTGCTTCATCCTGCCAACGACTGGCGCCAGCACGTATTTCTCTACACTCTCAGCTGCAGCTGTGATGTGTCACACTTGTAGACATGGAGCACAGGCAACACCCGCGGGAAAAGTGCACGTTACAAATAGTGATGTGCAAAGGTACAAAAAAGTAGAGGATGTAAACTGATGTTCATTGTTTGACATAAAACCCTTCATTTAGATTGAGTTCTGTCACTGGACTCCATGGCAACACCACGGAGTCCATATTTATTTATTTGATTTATTTAGCTGCATCTTTTTTGCGACAAGATAATAATGACACGTCTGCCGTAGTATTTTTAATATTCTCTTGTATTGAGTTTTTTTCCCATCTGGACATCAACTAATTAAAAGAAAGGAAAGAAGTCTTTCTTATTATTGTTCCCTCAGAGAGAGAGTACAGTGCTTTAACTTCGTCCTCCTACAGCAACATGTTGGAAAATGGAAAGTATGACCTCCAGATATTAAAAACTGAAACTCTCTGCTTTCAAAAGTTTCATTATTTCTGACCCTCCTACACACATTTGGCCTCAGAGTGAATAACACACATGAGTAAACATAATTTAAAATGCTTTCTGCCTGTTGTGTCTTCTTGTGTAACATTATGTATAAACGCTTTATTTTAATCTCACCCTGCTGTTGAGAGGAGAGCAGGAGTTTAAATCCAATCATCAGTATCTGGTATTTTTTTTTCTACTGTAACTTTTACTCCAACGGGTCAAAGTTTTGATCCAGATGTGTCAAACACAAACACACACATGCAAAAGACGCTTCAGCTGCTGTTTCAAACAAACCAAATAAAGTGGGCTGTTCCTGACAGCAGTGGATGGAGTGTGTGGGGCTTCGGCATCGACTGCCTTTGTCCTCGATGACAGATTTTTGGCAGCAGAACCTGCAGAGTTGTTCCCAAATATTCAAGCTGCCAAAACAAACATTGATTTTTTTTTCAAATGAATCTGCTCTCTCGGCACACGGCACATAGGAGCGTGTTGTAATACAGCTCCCTGTAGCAGAAATGAAACGTTCAGCTTCCTCCCTCACACAAGTTCATCGGGATGTTGTTGGCGATCCTGGAAAACTTTGTGACAAACTGTGGAGATGCTTCCTGACACTTGGTCCTCTTCTCTTTCTCTTTCCTTCCTTCTCTCAGGTGTTCTCCCAGCCGTTGTGAACATGGTGGCCGCTGCAGTCAGTCCTGGACCGTCTTCCACTGTAACTGCTCCGACAGCGGCTACAGCGGCGCCACCTGCCACAGCTGTAAGTCACGCACCTGTCAGTCACCACCGCGTAGCTCTGGGGCCGCAGGGGTCAGATGAACCCTGCTGTTAATCTGCAGCATTTTGACACCGCAGGTTCCCACTGCTCTCTTCTCATTGTGTCCTGTGCTGCAATCTGTTCCCTTTAAGAACCGTTACGGTACAGAGCACACCAGTAGCGTGCTGGGTTGCTCTGAAATAGCCAGAGCCGGTGGGGGGGAGGGCTATTATTTCCAGGCTGTGAACACAATATCACAGCTGAGGGCAAATTTCATACAAACCTTCACTTGGACTCAAGGATGAAGTGATTAGAATTTACATTTGCATTAGTTTCACTGCAGTGACAGAAGCTTTTACCCAAAGCAAATTAGAAGTGAAGGACAATGTGTAACTATGAAGTGCTACATCTGTTTAATAGTGTGAGGAGATTATGTCAAGCACAGTAAGGGCCAGTTAAACATGCTGCTGTGTACAGTGGCAGTGACTGATTTGACAACACTGTATGCAAATTGCTTGGATGAGCTATAAAACTCCCGACTCTGGTGGGACTCGAACCCACAACCTTTGAATTGCCTCTCATTTGATTTACTAGAAGTCCAATGCGCTATCCATTGCGCCACAGAGCCTGGTGGTGGGTTAGTTGTGTGTAGCATACCTCAGCACTTCACAGCAGTGGGGTTTGGCGAGCAGAGCGAGTTCAGACCTCCTCTTTTTAAAATGAGTCGCAGAGACTCAACAGTTTCGACCAGGAGAAAAACAAGGAATACGTCCTCTTTGAGAGGCAGAAGCAGAGTTGAGGTGGGTGACCGACCATCCGCCTCGATGCACTGGGTGTGGAGAGAAAGAAATGTAATATTTATGGTAAC